TAATTGGTTCAAAAGGTAGCTGCTCCCAAGTGTTTTTTTGTGTCTGGTGGCAACTGCTCCCAGGCTGCTGTGTGTTCCTGTGCTACTGCTCTGTCCTTGTTTTGCTTTGTTAACATCAACTATACTCCCCATCTCAGCTGTGGGCCAGGCAGTCTCCACCTCCCCAACAGTTCTCTAATTCTAGTCTTGTAAGGGACTTCTTTATGTGATAAAAGGTAGCTGCTCCCAAGTGTTTTTTTGTGTCTGGTGGCAACTGCTCCCAGGCTGCTGTGTGTTCCTGTGCTACTGCTCTGTCCTTGTTTTGCTTTGTTAACATCAACTATACTCCCCATCTCAGCTGTGGGCCAGGCAGTCTCCACCTCCCCAACAGTTCTCTAATTCTAGTCTTGTAAGGGACTTCTTTATGTGATTGTTTTTGCAATTTCTCTACAGACAGGCTGCCCAACATTCATCAATATATATGAAAATTGTCCAGAAGAAATCAAAACTGTGGGTACGTACTCTGTTTTCTTTCTCATGCATATTCAGAATTAACCAAGGCAGGCTGCTTGGAAGAGCTGCCCCTTGACTTTCAATACAATGGTGAAAAGTGTTCTATTTAGTGGGTCATTTTTAATTCCCTAGATGAAGGACAGACAAAAAAGCCTTACAGCTTTTCTAAAGGTCACTAATCTATCTTCATGCCTGTTGGCAGACTTACTCATTTTACTTCTCATGATACTGTACAGTAGCTCTTTGTTTTTTTTATTCTCTTTCATACTCTTTGTTGTTTTATTCCCTTTTTTCATACCCTTTGAAAAAGGAAGACACTTAATTACCTATCAGTCTCTGAATATATCCCTTCCCCCTACCCAAACTATCAGCATCGGGTTGTTCTTCCAGCAGAGCCTGGTCCTTTGATTCCAGCATTGCTGTCTTCTCAGCGTGACCATGCCCTTCCCCTGCTTTAGGCAGTTTTGTGCCCAGGATCAATTTGCCTTTAGCAAAACCTGCTCTCAGAGACCCCAGGAGATCATCAGCCTCCATCCCTTCCTGGACTTCCCTTGCCACAGCTGCTGCCCCCAGCACATTTCCTCAGCTCATCTCTTTGACTGCACAATGAGGTCCTTTTTGAATTCCCACCTGTACTGCTCTGAAGTCATCCATTACACTGTCTGCAGGGGATACTTCAGTTCCTTCTGTTATTTCCGATTCAAGGAAAAGAGAATCAAATGGTTTCTACAAAGAGAGGATGAACAAATAAAAGAATGAATGAATAGATCTATGAATAAAATGTTTGCTGAAGAGCAAAAATATGCCTGCTATTTGGCTAACTGAAGTGCTATTATTTTCATACCCTGCAGGGGATATTCTGTTAGCCTGTTCCTAGGCTTGGATCCTAACCTGACAGATGTGGCTTTGGCTCTCCAGGCAGAGCCATAAAGTGCAAACCTCTTCCATCTTCCCTGCTCCACCAGAATAGCAAGAGAGAGAGAATTGTTCAGCTCCCTACAAGCTCTTTTTGTGGTGCAGAGGGGAAGGAAAGGGTTTTACAACAAACAATGCATATGGTTTGTGTCTTTGTAGAGTCATATGTATTAATTTATTTCCAATCAGTGGGGGGTTCACTGCTGACACTGATTGAAGCAGAACTGAACATTTTTGAAGACTTCATTCTGATTCATTTTGGATAGTGTACCTTATGCCTTCTAGCCATAAGGAAAAACAAGTTCATTTGCCCATTTTTTTTTCCTTCTGAATTACTTTAGTGTGGGATATAAAGAAGAACATTATTCCTATTGCAGCTTTTACAGTTAATTAAGCTTGAGTTAAGAGAAAAAAGAAAGAAGGAAATCTGTGCATACTATATACTAATTGCAGGTATTTGTGATGAAAGATCACAGAAGACAAAAAAAGAGGCAACGTTATTGAAACCTGCCTACAAAACAGATCTCTTTGATGATCCATGTTACATCAACACCCAATCCCTGCAGTCTGCAGTGTGCACAGCCCGTGGTACAGCAACAACACAGATCCATGGGAGTCCTCTGCGTCAGGCCAGTAGGTTCCCACTGCAATCCCATATCTGTCTAAATGCTGAAAAGAGGGTGCTTTTTCACCTGTGTGCATGGAAAAAGGTTTACTTTCCCCATAAGAATATGGAAAAGGTGGGGGTAAAAATGTATGCTGGTTTTTCTTTTTGTTTGTTAAATTCAAGAGTATTAAAAAGTAGAAGTAGTGACAGTAAACAAGCAGAGGAATCTTTTGTTTTCTGTAGCTGATTGATGACAATAAACAGAGTTTCACATATAATAATAAGCAAGTTTTAAAGCTGATACAAAAGCTTGGGACTGCACCATACCTCAAGGAAGAGGGTTCTCCTATATGCTCAAGGTCATGACCACCCTAAGGTGAAAGTGACCTCAGATGCCTTTGCTTCACAGGCAGTAGCATGCAAGGGTAGAGTGGGATTGCTGTGCCTGTCTCTTCTCAGTTCTTCCATAAGTGACCATTGAATTTCATCCAAAAATTTCTAAATCAAACTGTTTGATCAGTAGTATCTATTAAATGTATGTCAAGTTAAATCTTGGTTACTGACTCAAAGTGGTGGATATCCATTAAATGACTGTATAGTTGCTACTAATTGTCCTCATTATTGAAAATACTTCATTTATGAGCTTTGCCTCCTATGGTTTCCCACTGAGTGTTTTCTCTGTCAAAGCTGGCTCCATACAAAAAAAGTGGACAAAGGACTGAACAGAAGTACAATGAAGGAAATCTGTGACCATTGAGACATTTTCAGCCCAGGGCTGTATCATGCTCTGAAAGGAACTGCCTATATCCTGAGGAGCCTTGGGTTGCACAATTCCATTGAAGAAGTGGTATCCTCTTATTTTCCTTAGAAGAATCCTGCCTGTGAATCATTTGCAGTCTGACTGGCTATATCCCAAACCACCCAGTTTTGTTAGTACATTCAGTAATTGTTCGTTTTTTCACAGCAAATGCATCATGCTGTAATCCTTCCCTTCTGGCTACATTGGCTATGTTGTCTTACATTCCTGCACTTAGCTGGAGCCACTCAACATGACTTTCCCAATGATGTGTGACAATCACTTCAGAGCTTGTTAAGGAAGAAGGAAAAACAAGATTTAAAAAAAAAAAAAAAAAGAAAAAACTAAAATCCAACAAAAATCTTGTTCTCACAGGGAAGATTTGACTTTTTAATACAATCAAAGAAGTATAAACCCAAAACAGTACAGCATCAGAAAAATTGCTGTTTCTAATCCCTGTTGCCTAGCGACCCAAGGTTTTCCCATCTAAGGTAGGGGAGGAGATGGTGTGATAATTTTACCTAATGCACTGGAGGGTTGTGAGCATTCATGTGTGCATGTGCTTACAGTCTGAAAGGTTGATTTGATCACAGCTTCAATACTGACTCATTTGAATTTTTAAAAAGCTATGGAAAATACTGTCTTGCATCCTTTTAGGATGAGAGTCTAGGTGAAGTGTCCAACACATTCCCTTTCATTTAATTTTAGAGTTGCCGGAAGCTGCTCAGCAGAGTGCCACAAGCAACACAGCTGGTCTCTGTGTTCTGCCACAAATAAAGCAACAGCTAAAGAATGAAGATTGTTACCATGGCAAATTAAACAGGAAAGCAGCAGAGAGCCTCTTAGTCAACGATGGGGATTTTCTGGTGCGAGAGAGCACAACGTCACCTGGTCAGTATGTCCTCAGTGGACTTCAGGGAGGACAAGCAAAGCATCTGCTCTTGGTGGATCCTGAGGGCAAGGTATGAATATTTCATATACTGAAATTTCACTGCTGCTGGGATATTTCAATCAAAATGCATGGGTGCATTCCAGGAAGTGGAACTTATTTGATTCCATCCAGGTTAATTTAAATATAGCCAGTGGCTTCAGTAGGTTTGAAAGTTCAGTTCAAGAACACATAAGCACTGAAGTACCATGGAAGTAGGAGTGAGGTACTTAAGTACTGTTGTTAGTCCAGGTGCTGATAATTAGTGTATACACTTAACACATCCTTTGAGTTGCTTTTATATTGCTAGAAAAATAACCCTAACCTTGAATAATGAATTTTTGGATACAGAAAAGGTAGAGCTGGTTTGTTGTCACTTCAATTCTACTTGCTTCTGCTCAGGGATAGAAGAGCACTCTGGAGTGATGTCTCTGAGGAGAGAGTAAATCAGAAAAGTAATCCTCAATGGGATCTAGGGGCAAATACCTCTCTTCTGTGGAGAAGAAGGCAAAAAGAGAGGTTGTTTCATTCCCCTTAGTACAATCAGCCCAGTTCTACATACAGTCTCTTTAACTTGGTCCTCTGCTTTTCATGTCAGCTAATGGTGGGTCGAAGAGTAGGTCTGAACTGCAGCTGCAGTGAGTTCAGTGGCTTAAATGCCTTTTGGCTTTAATGTGTTAGGCTCATCTCCAACCAGTTATAAGCACAGTCTAACAATAAATATATTGTTTTGCTTCTTTCTTTAGGTGAGAACCAAAGACCATATATTTGATAGTGTGGGTCATCTTATTCAGTATCACATGGAAAATAATTTGCCAATCATATCTTCTGGAAGTGAAGTGAGCTTGAAGCAGCCTGTAAGGAAAGAGAGTAATACGGGACACATGCAATATCACAAATAACCTCTTGGATCTCACAAATCCCAAGACAATTCATGGCTGAAAACTATTCCGAGAACTTTCTATTATGAAGACAATTCAAAAAAGTATAGACTGCACTTTCTGCTGCTGTTCCAGAAGAAACTCTTTTGTGTGTGTATGTATGAATATATGTATATGTGTATATCTATGTAGATCTATAGAGATCAACAAGCATAGTTATATAGATACATATAATCTTAATTTTAACGAAACTACACCTTCAGAGTGTGAGATTCATTTGTGAGAAGGTATTTTAGACATGCACAAGTGTCACTTTCAAGGTCATACTGAATCAGTAACTATTGAAAAGCACAATGAAAACTCTACATACAAAAGCTCACTTGAACGAACTGCTGGAACATTAGTATGTGCCTTTTAGCATAGAATTATTGGAAACCAATATTATTTATACTGAATTAGTTTTGGGTGGTTAAACAAACACATCTAAGCTTTTAACTATTTGCCAAAACAAATACGATTTGAATATTACTAAAATGTCATCTTCTTTCAATAGACACTAACAATTTCAGTTAGCTTGTAACAGCACTTTACTAGCAAGTAACGTTTGAACAATACAGAGGCTGTCCAATTTCTTAATCATCTTTTGTCACTGTCTGACTACTCAACTATTTGAGATTATGAGCATTTACAAAGTTGAAATTAATATATGTAATATAATTTTGGAATAGAACTTGTTAAAGGACAAGCATGCTAGATCCTAATATTTTTGTCTTGCATATGGTTTTACTATTATTATCAATTAATACTGGAGACATCTTTTTAAAGGTAGGCTAAATATATTTTCATTGATTACATAGTTGTTTACAAACTAGAAGAGCTGAACAAAAACTAACGATTCATTTTGAGAGAAAACTATTTAAAAGATATTTGAACTTTGCATGTGTCCTTACTCAGTGTTCTTTCCAAAACAAGACACAGTTTTCCCCTTTCTTCACGTAGAGTCCATTTGTTCCTAAACATGGAGAAAAGTCTTTTAAAGGAAATCTATTAATTGTTTTACCACAATAAATACTCTAAATACGAACAATCCTATGTTCAGAGTGAACAGTGGTTTATTTGGCTTCCTGTTGAATAAACAGTGATGTAACAAGTAACTGAAGAAAGCAGGGGAGGTTTGGGCATGAACTGGTAGTCCTGAATGGCCTGAGAAAGTTGTGCCTTTAAGATAAGCAATGTCCTCTGGCATGAGCAGAGACATTCTCTCTGTCTCCCAGCCCATCAGCTCAGTTCCTAAGGCACACACTTGTTGTGGAGTTCAGCACTTGCTGGAAGACTTGACTATGAAAAATTACATTCTGTTCTTTTGCCTGTGTTCATAATAAATGGGACACTGTAGTATGAGCTCTTTCCTCTAGAAAACAAGAGATGTCATGTAAAGATAAAATTACTGAAGACAAACTTCCTTGGAGGGGAAAAATAATGTAAAAAGCCACACTTAGATCCGCCTAGAAAACACGTTTTTTCTCATCCTCAGCTAATAGCCATAAAACACATTTCATTCCTTGAAAATAACATGATTAAAATACTCAATTACATATACTGAAGCAGTGAGAAGCTTTAAAACATGAGCAGTTGATTTCCTTGCTGATAGTCTGGCATTTTTCATACCTTAAGCCTTTGGACTAGAAGCTCAAGCTTATGCCTGTTGTATCCTGTGCAAGGTGTTCCCCCCGTGAAGGCCCTCAGCAAGAGTTCATGCTTGGGCTTTGTGCCACGGCAAGGACAGCTGGCAAGAAACTGTAACTGGAATATTAAACCCCTGTGCAATATCCTCTCTGTTCTCACGCCTTGCCAAACGGCATGATGTGCTTGACATGACTTTATTGAGTAAACAATGAAGCAAAACTAGGTACTTCTGTGCCATGTCTAGGGGAGAGAAAGACCTGCCTAGGGCTGTTTTGATTTTTGCATCAAAGCTGACGTTTAAGACAGGTCATAGGAGGACAATGTGCAGAACTCCTGTTGGGAAAGGTGAAGGTTCCGCGCGGGGAAGCAAGCGGCCGACTCCGTGTGGGTGATACAGCAAGCTCCAACTTTATTGTCCGACAGGCTCTTTATTATACAGTGCAGGACAGGCATACAATTATCAATCATTTTTAATTGGCTAGGCTCTAAAGATAGCATTCAGGTACTCTCCCTACTCACAGCTGCAGCTGTGAGGCTTATCTCTTGCTTTCCCAGGCTTGGGTGTATTCCTAGCTGTTTTTCTCGAACTTGTTTGTCTCACCCTCAAGGACGAGTTACCCCTGCCATCTGCCCAGCTGAATTACTCCCTATCTATATATAAGTCACTATCTCCAGAGCCTTGCTTGTACACTGCATTCCCAGGTGCGTTCCCAGGACTGTGTCTGTACGTTCCCAGGGGACTGTGGCCTAGCTCTTTTTGGCCTTCCCCAGGTGCATACCCAGGATCATGTCCTGCCATTCTCCAACAAACTCCATCTCTGGTTTTAGTACAAATCAAAATTACTCTGGACTAGAGTAATAGCATTTGGAGTCGTGATAGTATTTGATCAAAGCTATTTGACTTTGCCCGTCAAGATGCTGACTCAGGGCCCTTGTTTCACTGCATCAGTTTTCACTTTACCAATGGATAAGAACATGCAGAGCCAGTGTGTGATGTTAGGGTCACAGTATGATGCAGTCTGTGTCTCCCTCTTTGAGTATCACTAACTTAAAAAGTTAAACAGACCCAAGTCGTTGTTTTGATGCTCCTGTATCTTCTCTAAGTGTCTGAAGTAAAGCTGTGAAGGGAAAGGGGAGGAAAGGGAGATAATTGGGTGTCGTACAATAAACAACTATGTCAAAATCCCTTGATGTGAGAGAAAAATCCAACTAATTACAGCTACACTTCAAACATGACACATCCATGCATCACAGGCAACATCTTCCTGGAATAAACTACATTCATTCTCAGTTTTCTGTTTCTAATATTGATGTGCCTTCACTTAGTAATTAATGCTGCTCTTCTATTAGTGCTGCTCTGTGGACCAGCCATCACGTGTACAGCACTGTGAGCTCCCGTTGGGAGTCTGAGAAGAAGGAATTATGCTAAAAAGAAAAAAAACCAGCTAAATTTTGGAAAGCTTTATAAAATATTGTTCTTGAGAAGCTAAATATTAATTGCCAGACACATGTGGACACTTTTTTTTGGTGTTTTCTGAATCACTTAAAGCACACAAAAACACTGAGGAGAATTGATTAATCTCTGTCCTGATGGTTACTAGAATCCCGTGGGGAAAAAAAATAGCTATTTTCGCCCATGATGTCACATTTACAAGGCAGAGCATCCTTTGCAAACCTCCTACAAATTTCACCTGAACACATCAACCGTTTGCTGCCCTCAATAACAACGTTGCCATGAGTGACCACACAGTTCCCTTCTCGCTCCTCCAGCCGGAGGGGCAAGGTCACCACGTGGAGCTGTTGCATTGTACTCAGCGCTACAGACACTTCGGTGGCAAAACCCTCCGGAATTGGGGTTGGGTTGTTTTTTTCCTTTCTGCTTTTGTAATGCTTCCTACAAGCAACTCTGTGGAATAAGTCTGCTCGTTTTGAGAAGCTTTTAATTCTTTGAACGCGACGAAGCTTGGGGGGCAGCGCGGGTTCCCCCAGCGCCCTAAGGAGAGATGCCTCGGGGGGCCGCCCCGGGCACGGGCAGCGCTCGGGGGCGATGGGCGATGGGCTC